GGGAATCGACAAGCAATGCATTTTAACCATTAGCCGCCCAGCCAATGACCGTTTGGTGGCTTCAAAAGTGCTTCGGCATTCCGGGTGCACGCCATTTGGCGTGCTCCCACACATGCGCAGTTTGCGCTAATGCAGAGCCGCGCAGCGGCGCGATCTGTCACCGGCCGTGTACCTCGGACATGGCCGATGACAGATCTGAGTACCGGTCCCCGTTGCTGGTACCATGTGACCTGCTGTGACCAATCACAGCAGGTCACATGACAGTTGTATACAATGGATGGCTTCATTCATGCCATCCATTGTATACTAGTGCCTAGCTGTGAATGGTCACAGCAGGTCACATGCGCATGTCATGTGATTAGCTGTGATCAAATCACAGCTAAGCACTAAAAAAAAAAAAAAAAAAAAAAAAAAAAAAAACCTGAATGAAGCGATTTCATTCAGGTAAATGCTTGCTTATAGCAACGTAATTCTTTGCTATAAGCAAATTGTGTAAAAAAAAAAAAAAAAAAAAATACTGATCACTTCCCCAAAGTAGTACAATGTTACTATGGTAACATTGTACTACTTTGGTCATAGTAAAATATGAAAAAAAAAATCTTAAAAAAAAATAAAAAAAAAAAAGTAATAAAAAATTAAAAATAATAAAAAATAAAAAATTTTTAAAAAAAAAAATATTTTTTTTTTCATACTGTCACCAGTCAGTGTCCCTGTTCACCGCCATGTCAGTTATATGATGACGCTGTACTGCACTGGTGACAGTATGTAAAAATAAAATAGTGAAAATAATTTTTTTAATTTTTTCATTTTCCGAAAAAATTATGACAAAAAAAAAATACAGCTTAAAAAAACTCGCCATTCCTCTTATGAAGTACGTCGGACTGTCTACTCTGCAAAAAGGGGTCATTTGGGGATATCTGTACTGTCCTGACATTTGAAGGATATCTGTACTGTCCTGACATTTGAAGGATATCTGTACTATTCTGACATTCTTGGACCTCAAGAAATTAGATTGGCTGTCAGTACTTCAGGATTGATCAATATTCAGATCTATACCATAGTTTGTGAACTCTATAACTTTCCTACAAACTAAATAATACATCCTAATTTGGGTTATTTTCACCAAAGACATGTAGCAGAATACATCTCGGCCTAAATTTATGAAGAACAATTATTTATTTGCAAACTTTTATAACAGAAATAAAGAAAAACGTGTTTTTTTTTTTCAAAATGTTTGGTCATTTTTTTTGTTAATTTAGCAAAAAATAAAATCACCAGCGGTGATTAAATACCACCAAAAGAAAGCTCTAGTTGTGTGAAGAAAATGATAAAATTTCAGTTTGGGTACAATGTTGTATGACCGCGCAATTGTCATTCAAAGTGTGAGAGTGCTGAAACCTGAAAAATGGCCTGGGCAGGAAGGTGTAAAATTGCCCGGTATTGAAATGGTTAAAAAAAGACATCCCCCCAGACCGAGTTATTGGAGCCAGAGTATATAAACTGGAGCTTGTGGTGATAGGCAGCCTCTGTAAGATTAGTGAAGAACCAGCTTTTGCCAGCGGATCCTGCGGGGGTAGCGCTAAAATTGTAAGAAACATTATGTCACAGATTGGGACTATATTAACGGTACACCCACAAACCAAGAACTTTGATTATCTTTAGATATCCTTTAAAGTAGAGCTGACTCAGGCAGCATAGCTTCTAGGCTATAATAAGGGATTGATATCCATTTGCCGCTAGACGGCATAAAAACGTGTTCTGCAAATGTGATTGCAAAGTGCATGACGAACGCAGCAAAAGGGAAATGTGAAATGGAAAAAAAAGAGAATTTTATGATATCAAATATGAATTGCTTACATTGCAAGGAGAACATGTTGACAAAACAAACAGACATGTCATAAAAACACCTTCTAACGTGTCATAATGCCTTTTGAAAATGCAAATGTGTAAATAAGGATCCAAAAAGTATACCAATGATAATTACAGTATATCATGGTAACACCAACTGCAATGATAATACAACTGAAAGTGTTACAACAACTTCATCCACTCACACTATATGACCAACAGTTAGTGGGCACTGACCATCACGCCATGAGCTTGTTGGACATCCAATTCCAGAAACATGGCCGTTAATATGGAGTTGGATCCCTTTGGGGCTTATACCATTGCTTTCCACAAGATTTTGGAGTTTTCTTGTGGAAATTTGTGCCCTTTCAGCAAAAATATCATCTGTGAGTTCAGGCGCTGATGCTGGATGAGGAGACCTGCCTCACAGTTAGTGTTCCCATTCATCTCAAAGATGTTCAGTAGGGTTAGGGTTGGGTCTCTGTGTAGGACACTCAAGTTCCTCCACATCACATGGGTCAAACCATGTCTTTATTGATCTGGCTTTGTACAGAGGGGCACAGCCATGCTGGAATAGAAAAGGGTCTTTGCCAAACTTTTACCGCAAGGTTGGAGGAGAACAATTGTCTAAAACGTCTTTGTATGCTGCCGCAAGAGGGCAGGAGCTTATGTTGGATGGGAAGACCTGGTTCACAATCAAAGTTCCAATTCATCCCTAAAGTGTTCAGTAGGGTTCAGGGCTCTGTGCAGGACACTCCAGTTCAGGGGCGTACTGACCATTTGGAAACTCGGGCACTGCCCAAGGGCCCAGGGTCAGTAGGGGGCCCCATGAGATGCCCCTGGTACTTTTTTCATAGGCTTTTTTGAGTTTGGGAAAGGACACAGGGGGCCCCACGATCCCCTATTGCCCGGGGGCCTAATGAGTTGTCAGTCCGCCCCTGCTCCAGTGCCATCACACCAGAACTTAATGCAGCTGGCTTTATACACAGGGGCACAGTCATGCTAGAACAGAAAAGGACCTTTTCCAATCTGTTATCAAAAGGTCTGTTGCTTGTGGGAGTTTGTGCCATTTTTAAGGTCAGGTCCTGTATTTGGATAAGAAGATCTAGATCACAATTGGTGCTTCATTTCATCCTGAAGGTGCTCAACTGAGTTGGTGTCAGGGCTCTGAGCAGGAGACTTGGTTTTCTCCACAGCAAACTAGTCAAACTATCATGTACCTGGTGATGGAGGCCAATGGAGAGAGGGCTTCCCTTGCGGCTAAGTTTTGGACTACTCCCCAGAGAGTGTGACAGCGGGAGTCAGGCCCAAAGTGGCACAGGTCACCTGTAGGAGTGCTGGTTGGTGGTCCACTCAGAAGCACAGCTGGTGCACGGAGATAGGTCTGCAGACAGCAGGGGCCTGTGCGTGGTATGCAAACCCTTCCGGGATTTAGATGTTTACTGGGTAGTTGGTTCAAGCCAAGGTCAGGTAGCAGGTGGGAATCAGAGCAGATGTAGTCAGGTGGGACAGCCGAGGTCATACACAGAGGAGCGAGAGAGAAAGAGAGAGTATCTGTAAGCCAAGCTGAGGTCAGATCAGGGGTAAAGCAGAGTAGACAGGTCCAGGAGCATGCCGAGTCTGTAACAGGAAATCACAGGTCACAATCACAGAAAACAGGAACAAGGCACGGAAATGCCAGATCTTCCAGAACTTCTGCTGTGGATAGGATCCTGACACAAACCATGTCACTGTTACCACAATGTTGGAGGAGCAGGACTGTCTACAATGTCTTTGTATGATGTAGCATTTATGAGGGAAGATGTTGATGTTGGGTGTGAAGACCTGGCTCACCATCAAAGTTCCAGTTTCCGTCTTCAGTACGGGAAACTGGAAGTGAAGTCTTGCGGCTCTACAGTCCGTTTCCTACTGCGTATGCGCAAAACTCACTGCATGCCTTCAAGGAGCTGGATTTGTGCATAGGTGCACAGTCATGCTGGAACAAAAAAGGCCTTTCCCAAACTGTTACCTACAAAGGTCTGTTGCCTGTGGGAATTTCTTGTCAGTTGTGAGGTCAGGTACTGATTTTGAATGAGAAGACCTATCTCACAGTTAGTGTTCCGATTCATCCTCAAGGTGTTTATTAGGGTTGAGGCCAGGGCTCTTCTGTGCAGGAGACTTGATTTCCTCCACATCAGACTGGTCCAGGGGCGGACTGACCATTTGGAAACTCGGGCACTGCCCGAGGGCCCGGGGTCAGTAGAGGGCCCCATGAGATTCTCCTGGTACCTTTTTCATAGGCTTTTTTGAGTTTGGGCAAGGACACAGAGGCCCCATGATCCCCTATTGCCCGGGGGCCCCATGAGTTGTCAGTCCACCCCTGGACTGGTCAAACCATGTTTTTACAGAGGTGGCTTTGTACACAGGGGTACAGTCATGCTGGAACAGAATCAAATGGTATCACAAGGTCTGTACCGGTGGGAGTTTACAGTCAATCCCATAGGTGTTAAACAGGGTTTGGGTTCTGTGCAGACCATTCAAGCTCCTCCATACTAAATTATGTAAACCATGTTGTCGTTTCATGCTGGAAGGGGAAAGTGCCACAAACTGTTACCAAAATGTTTTTGTGCTGTATTATTAATAGTACCGTTCACTGGAAACACCTTAACACCTCCATCATTTGGATGGGGGGGAGGCACATATTTTTGGCCATATGGTCACCGTAATGGTTAGTTGACTAAAAAGTAATGGTAATAATAATAAGTACAATACTAGCATTATTATTAATGTAACAATTAGAGATGAGCGAATTATTCAAAAATTCGATTCGGCTGATTCGCCGAATTTGTGGAATAAATTCGATTCAATGCGAATTTATTCGCTGCGAATTTAACTTATAAAAAGGGTTTCTAGGCTTCAGAGAGCCTTTATATTAGTGCAGAACACTGTACCTTTAATTTAAATGCCCTTGAAGTCTGCTGGGGAAGAGAAATAATACTGTCAGTCAGTATGACATGCAGATGAGTGCCGTCGATCTTAGAATCACCGCACACTTCACTCATTTGGGCAGTCACGGGGCCAAAACCAGAGTGTGGAGCCACAGTGTGGCGGTGGAGGCAGCAGCAATGGGAGGCCATACAGCACCCTATGACAAAATGGAACCCACCAGCAGTGTGAGGAGACCTGAAATTGGCACATAGCAGAGTGTGGCGATGAAGACAGCAGCAATGGGAGGCCGTACAGGGACCCATGACACACTCTGGACCTGGCAGCAGCATGAGGAGGCGGTACAGGGGCCCATGGCAAAGATGAAGAAGAAGAGGATGAGGATGAGGATGAAGAAGAAGAAGAAGAAGAAGTAGGATGAGGATGAAGAAGAAGAAGAAGAAGAAGAAGTAGGATGAGGATGAAGAAGAAGAAAGAAGAAGAAGTAGGATGAGGATGAAGAAGAAGAAGAAGAAGTAGGATGAGGATGAAGAAGAAAAAGAAGAAGTAGGATGAGGATGAAGAAGAAGAAGAAGAAGTAGGATGAGGATGAAGAAGAAGTAGGATGAGGATGAAGAAGAAGAAGAAGAAGCAGAAGAAGAAGTAGAAGAAGTAGGATGAGGATGAAGAAGAAGAAGAAGAAGAAGGATGAGGAAGAAGAAGAAGAAGTAGAAGAAGAAGTAGGATGAGGATGAAGAAGAAGAAGAAGAAGTAGGATGAGGATGAAGAAGAAGAAGTAGTAGGATGAGGATGAAGAAGAAGAAGAAGAAGAAGAAGAAGAAGTAGGATGAGGATGAAGAAGAAGAAGAAGAAGTAGATGAGGATGAAGAAGAAGAAGAAGTAGGATGAGGATGAAAAAAAGAAGAAGAAGAAGAAGTAGGATGAGGATGAAGAAGAAGAAGAAGTAGGATGAGGATGAAGAAGAAGAAGAAGAAGTAGGATGAGGATGAAGAAGAAGAAGACGTAGGATGAGGATGAAGAAGAAGAAGAAGTAGGATGAGGATGAAGAAGAAGAAGAAGTAGGATGAGGATGAAGAAGAAGAAGAAGAAGAAGAAGAAGGATGAGGATGAAGAAGAAGAAGAAGTAGGATGAGGATGAAAAAAGAAGAAGAAGAAGAAGAAGAAGTAGGATGAGGATGAAGAAGAAGAAGAAGAAGAAGAAGAAGTAGGATGAGGATGAAGAAGAAGAAGAAGAAGAAGTAGGATGAGGATGAAGAAGAAGAAGAAGAAGAAGAAGAAGAAGTAGGATGAGGATGAAGAAGAAGAAGAAGAAGAAGAAGAAGAAGAAGTAGGATGAGGATGAAGAAGAAGAAGAAGAAGAAGAAGAAGTATGATGGATGAGGATGAAGAAGAAGAAGAAGAAGAAGAAGAAGAAGTAGGATGAGGATGAAGAAGAAGAAGAAGAAGAAGAAGGATGAGGATGAAGAAGAAGAAGAAGAAGAAGAAGTAGGATGAGGATGAAGAAGAATTCCATTCCAGCAAAAAGTGTACCTGCAGAGAGTTCCGCTATTTCTGACAGTTCTCTGACAGTTCCTTCACATTTACAGCAGTTGAAACATTGTATCTATTTGTTTCCGAATAAAAACATCTGTATCCTAAATGGAAACAAATAGATACAATGTTTCAACTGCTGTAAATGTGAAGGAACTGTCAGAGAACTGTCAGAAATAGCGGAGCTCTCTGCAGGGACACTTTTTGCCGGCTGTAGAAGGGATGAAAATCGGCGGATCGGGGAAAATTCGATTCGTGCATCCGAAGTTTGCTAATATTCGGATTCGACGCGAATCAAATTTTTCCTAATATTCGAAACGAATTCCACTTCGCCAGGTTCGATTCGCTCATCTCTAGTAACAATAATAATAATAATTATTATACTATCAATAATAAAAAAAAATAATAAAATTGGAGAGTGTACTGAGCATACTGATAAAAATGGAAGCCCTTGAAAAAAATGTCCTCACATAGTAAGAAAGGGATAATATCATTCCTGGACCACTTAATTACACATTATTATTAATAAATAATGGCCATCTGACAGCCTGTAGGTAGATAGTTATTTGATGGGACTGATTTGCAATATTGTAGTATGATGAAACAATTAAAGTAAATAGAAGAGAGACGAGGCAGCTTGATTAGATAGATATGGAGACAGAGAGGGCCTCACAGTGACATCCAATAACCTTCTCACAGCTTGTGCCTGTGCATGCTCAATGTACAATTAAATCTATATTTCAGTATCTATTATGTTTTTACATTTACAGTACATTTCATGTTATCCATATACAGGGTCACAGTCAGAACAGAAAAGGGTCTTCCCCAAACTATTACCACACAAGGTTGTTAAATGTGGGAATTTGTCCCCATTTTCAAGGTCAAGCACTAATGCTGGATGAGAAAACTTGGCTCACAAATAGCTTCTCAATTGATCTTAACCTCCTTAGCGGTGTTCCTGAGTGTAGCTCGGGGTAAAATTTCTATACCAAGAGCGGTAACCCCGAGCTACATTCGGGCTTACCATGCGGTGTTGCTCTGGGGGTCCCTGCAGCACTTACCTTGTCCTTCGCTCCCGCGATGTGCCCCCTGCAGCATCCCCGGCCATTTCCTCTGGCCGATGCCGGCATCCGGCTTCTGTGTTCCGGTCCCTGTGACGTCGGGACGTACGGGCGCCGGAACCGGCGGGAAATTTGAATTTTTTAAAAAATTTCATTTTTGCTGTCATTGCTGTTTCAATTCATTTCACATACATTGTGTCCCGAGTGCTTTGTCCGGCGCCCTGCCTGCATTTTGAATGTTCTTTCTGCCTGGAAACTTAGAAAAGTCCATGGCGTTCAAAAGCGTCCCTTTAGGTCAAAAGCGGTTTTAGACCGGCTAGAGAACAGCGATAGTAAATCAGAACCACTTGCAGAATTGAGTGATAATGATTCGTAGGGAAATTCGTCATCAGACACTGAAAACAATTTTGCGACTTTGCTCAGCGATGTGCGAATTTGCCTCTGTATTTCAAATTTCAGTGTTTTTGGTTTGATTATATTATTGAATTAAATTTATTAATATTATATTATTATTTTTTATGATTATTTATTAAATTATAATTTATCATTTCGTGTTTCAAATTTTATCCTACCCGGGATGTTTACTAGACTCTTGTTCAGACAGATTTCAGTGAGTTATTCCTAAAAATTACAGCCTACAATAAAAAACTACATATTTTCATGCAAAAAAATGTACTGCTTTCAGCACCAAAAACCGGAAAGAATCATACCGCCGAGGAGGTTAAAGGTGTTCAGTAGAGCTGAGGTCAGGAATCTATGGGGGACACTTGAGTTCCTCCACATCAGACTGGTCAAACCATGTCTTTATGGAGCTGGCTTTGTACACAGGGGCAGTGCAGTGTTGCATGACTGCGCAATTGTCAGTTAAAGTAACGCAGCTCCGTATCGCAAAAAATGGCCTGGTCAGGAAGGGGGGTAAATCCTCTGGAGGGCGAGTGGTTAATAGCAATAATTAATATTATTACTCTGTGGTCAACCAACCATCGCAGTGGCCATATGGCCAAAAGTATGTGGACCACCCTCCAAATGGTGGAGTCCAAGTGTTTCCAATGAAGGGTATTGTTAGTACAGGAGAGCTTGTAGTAACAGTTTGGGGAAGGCCCCTTTCTGTCGCAGCATGATAATACCCTTTGCACAAAGCCAGCTCTGTAAAGACATAATTTAGTGTGGAAGAATGCAAAGAGGCTGGGACACTACTGAACACCTCTGGGAAGAGCTGGTACTTTGATCGAGAGCCAAGTCTTCTCACCCAACATCAGCACCTGTTCTCATAAATGCTACACATCATACAAAGACATTGTAGACAATCATGCTCTTCCAGCCTTGGGGTAACGGTTTGGTGAAGATCCTTTCCTGCTCCAGCATGACATATCCCCTGTGCAGGGGCGGACTGACCATTTGGAAACTCAGGCACTGCCCGAGGGCCCGGGGTCAGTAGGGGGCCCCATGAGATGCCCCTGGTACCTTTTTCATAGGCTTTTTTGAGTTTGGGCAAGGACACAGGGGCCCCATGATCCCTATTGCCCGGGGGCCCCATGAGATGTCAGTCCGCCCCTGGACAAGGGTATTGTCAAGCTGGAACAGAAAGGCAACCAGTTACTACAAGGTCTTTGTCTGTTGTATTATTAACAATACTCTTCACTGGAAAGGCTTGAACTCCATCATTTGGAGGGAAGTCCACATAGTTTTGGCCATTTGGTCACTCTGATGGTTAGTTGATCACAAGGTTGTAATATTAATAAAAATAATAATAATAATAATTATTATTATTAGCAGTAGTAGTATTTTTATTATTATTTTTAGTAGTTTTAATGCGGCTAATATTAATACAAAAAAGCATCACAAATACTAAAATTGGAGTATACTGATAACAAAAATGGAAGCCCTTGAAAAATCATGTCCTCGCATAATATAGAAAGGGATGATATCATTCCGGGATCACTTAATTGCACATTATTATTAATAATTAAAGGACGTCTGACAGCCGCTAGGTAGATAGCCATTCGATGGGACTGATTTGCAATATTTCAGTTTGATGAAACAATTAAAGTAAATCGAAGACAGACGAGGCAGATTGATTAGATAGATAAGGAGACAGAGAGGTCCTCACAGTGACATCCAATAACCGGCCCGTGGCTCGTAAGCCTGTGCATGCTCAACGTACAATCAGATCTCTATTTCAGTATCTATTCTTGTTTAATGTCTACGTACCTCCAACATATTACTCATCATTTTGCATTTCATTATTCACATCAGTTCCTGCTCCTGGTGTAAAGCCTAGTTGAGTTTTCAGTTTAAACTGCAAAACAAAAAGTTACAAAGCAAATGTTACAGTTCCCACAGGGTTCGGTGTTTCTTCTCGTCTACTCAACATTACCTTATGAATTTGTGGAGACTTCTGATCCGGGGGGCGGAGACTTCTGATCTGGGCCATTTGGATGATTTCTGTTATCATTATGATTTAAAAAGGAGGCAAACAACTATTTGATAACTATTTGATAATAAATGGCTTCATATGATCATCATCCTTCAATAAAAGAGCATTTTTTGGCATGATCAGTCATATTTTCAATATCAATGCCAAAATTACACAATTTCTGCCAGGGGATGCAAACTTATATATATATATATATACAGTGGGGATGGAAAGTTTGGGCACCCCAGCTAAAAATGTGTATTAATGTGCATAAAGAAGCCAAGGAAAGATGGAAAAATCTCCAAAAGGCATCAAATTACAGATTAGACATTCTTATAATATGTCAACAAAAGTTAGATTTTATTTCCATCATTTACACTTTCAAGATAACAGAAAACAAAAAAATGGCGTCTGCAAAAGTTTGGGCACCCTGCAGAGTTAATATCTTGTACTGCCCCCTTTGGCAAGTATCACGGCTTGTAAACGCTTTTTGTAGCCAGCCAAGAGTCTATAAAAAAAGCCTATAAAAAAGGTACCAGGGGCATTTCAGGGGGCCCCCTACTGACCTGGGCCCTCAGGCAGCGCTTTACATATATAGAGTACGTCTACATCAGTCCCTGCCCTCAAGCAGCATACAATCTAAGGTCCCTAACTCACAAACATACATACATACATACAGTGAGTATAGAAAAGTATTCCCTCCACCTT